GTGCAGAAATTGTAATAAAAGAAATTCTATACTGATACACTACAAACTGTATTGAGATATAATCCCGACTCTTGACTTTTCACTGGGAAATAGTTGACCTTAGGTGGGCTGTTTTTAAAAAACGTTTGATGTAACATGAAGTAAATAAATAAATTAGTAAATACTGTGAAAATTAGAGAGGCTGTCCCGAATTACCCCAGCCTACTCTATAGTTTTAACTAGTTAAAGCGTTAAGGACTTTTAATGATATAACGTACATACCATGATCCAAGATGAATAAGTCGCGTTGCTGATGACCATAAAACTTTTGGATAGTTAAATCGGTGTTGTGAAAGATAAACGAGACTCCAATCCCAGTTATAATCATCAAGATTACAAAATTCTTCTGCATATTTTGATAAAAGTGTCCAAAACTCGTACGAAATAGTCATTCCAAGATTATAACGTGCATGCCAGTATGCAATAGATACCTTAAATTAAAAGTAAATCATAAAAATTAGTTGAAAAATCAAAATAAATTTTCTTTTACCTTTCCTCCAACACGATTAAATTGTTTACCAGACTTTTCTAAATTACCGAGCGTATAAAATACACAATCTGGACAAAGTCTATGAAAACAAGACAAAAGATCATATTCATTTAGTCTCACCAAAAATCGTCCTTGTTTACTGTGGTTTTTTATTTTCCATTAACTGTAAAAAGACGAGTGCATCAGGTGATAAATAAAAATCTTCTTCTAATAATAAAACCAAAAGATCCGTACGATTTTGAAGAATACGAAGAGAATTAAATGCATAATTAAGCTAAAAAAATGTTCATTAATATATATATTCGTCATGTAAGAAGTTTAATGATTGGTCTTTACCTTCCACCACCAATGATGTTTTATTTGAACAATATTGCTTTCTCGATAGTGACCATATTTATCTGGAGAATTACCATTGTTACATTGTGTAAATAATGCTCTAAAGCGAAAAATAGTCGAAAAACTAAATTATATCTATTGTAATAGTAGAGAATGAATAGAAATTTCATACAACATTATGTGCTTCAATCTAACGAAAAAAATGTGAGAATGTACATGTTAACTTGTTTGTCTGTTTGTTAATAAATTTAAAACAATTAGGATATTCATTACATTTGTTTACTCTCACTAGTAAAAATAATATCAAAATATTGTTAAAAACTTACTGGTGTTTGGGTAAATCACGAGGACAATCGCGTGGATCTAATCCAGGAAATTCATCGGGATACAATTGTTTAGAATATGGATAAAATATTTGAATCACCTAAAGCATAAAAAGACACTTTTTTGACAGTTCAAAAATGTGATTCAAGAGAGTGTAACATTGTCTGTTCTTCTTACCGGTGCAAATGTAATATTTCTAACATGATCATTTATTTGTGTATCAATATAATCATGACTAAAAATAATTAGTGTTTTATTTATATTTACAACATCTTTCAATGAATGGATGAATAGATCTAAATAATTTAATCTTTTATGTACTTGTACTAGAAGTATATAACGTGTTTCTCTCGTATATAAATGTTCATTATATACATATTGTTCATTATTTTTCGTTTGAGCATATTTTCGTAATAATAATATAAATGAACGATTTATTGATGTAGATTCTGTTTCAGATAATGATTGTGAATTATCATTGAATTTTTGTGGTACTAATGTATTATTATTAATATTATTTTCTCGAAATATAACTTTGTCCATTGTTAAAGAGGACGATGGACGTTGAATATAACTATAATAGTATAATGTGGAAAATTCAATAAGTGATACAAAAATAATCCAGAACAAAGCATAACGTAGTAGTGTATAACGAATACGAAATCGATACATCATTCTCGAATAAGGATAAATATCCAGAATTAAAACAAGAGGAACATTCTTAAATATAAAACAAACCATCAATCTTTATAATTAAAAAGATTCTACTCTCACTCTAGCTCAGTATACAGTTATAAAAATAACTTTTGTAAAAAGTCAACGGCGGCAAAAAATGGAGAGTCCGGATAACTAATTCTTTTGATATTCTCTATTGGTCAATGAACAACAGAATAAAATTTTAAGATGTATAAACTAAACGAGATAATTACCTGTTCTTTCCTTTTTCTGTTTTTTTTTAAAATGATAATTTTTTATTTTGTTATTATTCCCATTTGTTTATGATGCGTTTCTTCAGATAGACAAGTACAATGTTTTGCGATCCCTGACTATCTGTGATACTTAACTAATAAATATATATTAAATTAATTACCTGTTTTAGCAATGATAATTGGCTTAGTTTAAGTTCAATAATCCAAATACTCCAATAATAATATTGTACAACATTTAATTTATATTCAAAATAAATAATAAAAATATATATTTTTTTTAATTGAATCATAGACATGAAGCAACATATACAACAATGTATAATTCTTAATTCAAATTAGACTACGAACAATAATAGAATATCATGTACCCTAATGATCTCTCTTTCTCTCTAGAAACGTAGTACATTCTAAAAAAGATATAAATTGTGGGTTTGATGATGGTGGTTTTGATGATGAATGTTTTTGTTTTTTTAACTAGTTAAATAATGAAAGAGTATAACGGATCTTTTTCGAGCATAGTGACATACGGTATGGACGGTAAACGACGAGAAAAAGAATGTACTGAACAGAACAGTCAACATATAAAGTCATGCATGATAGTTGTAGTTCATCTATTCGGTACATAGAGAACAACGTTTCGTTCTTCTCGTAGAAATATTAACAAATATTTTTCTTCACAAGGTTTTTGAGTTTTACATTCTGTTTTCAATTTTTTCCTTTTTGAGCTATAACGAAGAGTTTTTTTAAAGGCATCCCTCTTTCTACGGTTTTTGAAAGAAACTTTTATCATAAAAAAGTACACATATAACAATAGACTAAAAAACTGTTTTTCTTTTAGTTAGAACAGCTAAAACTACAAACTGGTAGAGAAAAAAAGTCTACTTTGTTTTGGACTGAAGTTTTTCTGAGATATTTGTCTGATGAGAGCGACGTTTTATATCAAATCTTTATGATTGAAATGTTGCTTTGATGGCGAAGCTATAGCTAAAAGAGCAATTTTTATATATATGCAACGAATGAAACATATTATATTCTGACAGCTTTCAGAATAATCATTATAACTTGTTAATAAAACAGTTTCAACAACTGAGAAACATCATTTTTTTTGACGAAAACACTTTTAAACTATCTTTAGTTGTGTGTAGTTTAAAAAATGTTAACTTTTCTGTAAAGAATTGGAAAAAAAATTTATAAGATAAAATGTTGGAAAAAAATTCATTCGTAATAGATACATTCTAGAGAGTCATGATGACTGCAGTTTTGAACAGAATATTTGATTTTACATAGAGACATTGTTAATAACCTTAGTTTAAAAAAATTGTTTTCAAGCTCGGAAGATGTAGGAGAGGATTGTTCTTAAATTGATTTTCTCTTAAACTTGAATTTAACAGATAATCAATTGACGTACTATTCAATATAGAATTTTCAATGGGAAAAAAAGAAGTTTTTTTGTTCATTTAAATGTTAAATAAGCGGTTCTCACAGCTATTCATCAGCAAAGAAAATGTTCTTTTCGCAAAATTTTTTCTTTTTTGTGTCTGCTATAAACATAAACTCTGCTACAATACTATAAATAAATATTATATGTTATTTCCATCCTTATAAAAGATAAAGAAGACAAGAAAAATAACGAAAATTCACTAATATTAATAAGATTCAAATGAAAAAGTTCAATATTTCAAATAATCACTTCAGTTTCATATCTTGAAGTAGTTTCTCCTACTTGACAATAAATACCCTATTGGACAATTAAATTACTGAGAATATTTTGTTTTTAAAAACATATTTACATAAGATCATGGATAAAAAAAAAAGAAATTTGTCTTCATCTACAGCAATCGGTTAAAAAAGACGTGTGAGCTAGATTTGTGATTAAGTGACAAAAATCAACTTGACATAAATTGATCAATAAAAAAAAAAGACAAAAAAATATATGAAGGTTTTTTGTAAAATTAAATGAGAATAAGAGAATAAAAAGAAAATATGTAATTTCGAATTGTAAGAGTATAGAATAAACTGCTACAATTTATTATTTATGCTACATTTATTACACTTACCCATTATCATTGAATGTCTGTCAGCTATCCTTTAGATTGGATAGCAATTGTTAAAAAATATTCAACTTTTCTCGTTAATCACTTCACTACGGAAAAGAATAATAAAGAAAGACAAAAAAACTTATTAAAATAAAGGAGTCTGATTTCATTATTTGAATAAGATTATTACCACAGAGAAAAATAAAGAGGCCAAATTTATTAAAGAAAAATAAAAAGACTGATGATATAAGTCATTTAACCGAAAATAATGATTTATCAACTATATACGTTTATGTATATTACTATTATTGTCGACTGAAGTTGGAATCAAAAATTTGCTAATTAGTCGTTTTTCTAACTTTGACGCATTGAACAGATGACTTGAGTTTTGAAAAAATCTACAGTATTCCTCCTCGAAAATAATGTTTCTTCGAAGTTACATATCAAGTTAGGATCTTATCTAATTAGATGATGAAAACATGTCGAATCGTGCTCTGTAATCCCGAATTGTCGTATAATCAGAGCTGGGCAAGTCACGGATTTTCCAAGTCAAAAGTCAATTCAGGTCAAGTCTCGCGGTTTTCCAAGTCAAGTCACAAGTCAAATCAAGTCTTTTAAAAAAATTTTCAAGCCATGAGTCATCAAAAATTTTCCAGTCAATTCAAAAATGATTTTACTTGCCCAACTCTGCGTATATTAGATGTTCAAAGTTAGAAAAACAACAGAAATAGCTTTTTCAAAATAGATCCATTACACACGCTCGATGGGTATATATGCTAAAAGTTTCGGCTTTAATCAACTGCTCCTTGCTAATTTACCAAGGTAAACGATGTTTCGATGGAAATGTCCTCTTCCACTATCTAGATAGTGATAATTTTGTAGATGTGGATGTTTTCAAAGTATTCCACTATAATATTCGTACGTCAATTTCTTAAGTCTATATACAATATTCATCACCTGACAGAGCTCTTTTAATCATCGAGTAATTTCAATAGAAATATTCACTTAAGAGAATTAGCAGAAAGCACATCCAATTTTTATTTAACTAAAATCGATTTTTTTGAAGGATGTGATCACTACAAAAATGTTATCAAAAACAATGCTAAAAAAGGTATGCTGCTGCGATGCATACATTTCTCTTTTGTTCGACAGTCACAGACAGGGGTGCCAACTGTAAACTCCACAGTTCGAAAAAAAATCTGTTAAAAGCGGAAAGAGTCGGACAGAAAAGGTATTGAAAATCGAAAGAACCATTTTTTTCAGAATACTCTAACAAGTTAAAGATTAAAGTCTTTTCTATTAGAGTACCTGTTCTTTTTTTTCAACAAAAAAAATACATTCAGCAGCAGTTATAAAAATCAAATATGTCAGGCATCGATTGTTTCTTTTGTGATTTTCTTTCCACTATTCGTTCATAAAAAACACTTAAAACAATAAACTGTGAAATAAAACAAAAACATACTACGTCTAATTGAATTTGTGGATGTTTTTAACTACTTTTAATATATCTGATTTATATAGAATTAAAGTATAAAACGGTTTATAATTAATATCAACCGAATATGTGACATAAAGAAGTACTTTTCAGAAAAAAGTAAAAAACTCCAGAAATCGGAAAATCAAAATTCAGAAAAGAAGCTCAACATCGGAAGAGTTGATAATCCTGGTCACAATCTTTTAGAATCGATTATTTATTGTTCTTCTTTATTACCTTTTAAAAAAGTTACTTTCTTCCTAAACGATAGTCATGGGCCAATCTACTAGTAAGAAAAGAACGCTACTTTTTGGTTTATTTCTTTATATTTATTATTTGTTTATTTTTCTTTACTTTCTTTTCATGTTCATATTTGGTTTATATCTATTTCTATCCGATTATTTGCTTGACGACCGTTATTGCTTAAAAGGTTGAGTACCTTTGGCGATCTCTCATTTCCAGTTGAATTCAATTGGATTAAGATTTTAACCTTTAAAAAATGTTCCGGTTAGCAGTTTTTATATGTTTCTGTTGGTGTTCCTTCGTAGTAGAAAAAAAACAAGAGCATAATATTCTTGTCACAAATTTCAGCATTCTGAGAGTGTTTGTATAGTAAAAAAGAAACCGCCTTCTACGATGTCTGGTTTTTAACATTTTCTAATTGGTATTGCTGTTTCTAACCTCGAAATACAAGTCGTTAAGGAAAGTGATAAGACGATTTTGTGGCTCAAACCGGTCATCCGAGTGTAGCAGTGTCACGATAAGAACGTATGTTGATGTCACGATTCTACAGTGATTCTTTTCACAGAGCTTGCACTGCTAAAATAGGCACACAAAATCCGTAACAAAGTCACAGTGTGTTGTTTGGCTGTCATATTTTTTCCGTTGAGTTCAGCGTTGAATGAAACATCTTTGTACGGGAAACTTTTTTAATCGTGTTCACCTTCAACATTTGCGTTCGAGTAGATGTTCCTCTTCTTATTTTATTAAAAAAAAGGAATTGATCGGTCTTCCATGAAATTCTCTCTCGATACTACATGTTAGAGGCTTTCTTTCCATAAAGAGCACAATTTTATTGCTGCTCAGATGGTTACATATTAGCGTCCAAATAACAGTAGTATCTCAAAATGTTTACTCACTTTTGCAAAATGTAAGAGAAAGACGCGGAAATCAACAGTAAGACTGTGCCATAATACGTGCAACATATAACAGCTGCTTTCCTATTGCAATCTTCAGCAGGAAATTGCGAATGAAAACTTTAGAGCACAATCAAGGCTGAAAGTTTCATCAAGAAGCATTAAA